TCTACTCCCGTAAAGATTTACACCCTCGGAAACCCTGTACAGGGTCGCTATGGGTCGGACCCGACTCGATGGCACTTAACAACAACAACAACAACAACAATTTTTCAAAGTAAATTGCCAGGCTTTTCTTCTGCAGTGTCTCTGGGTGAACTCAAATCTCCTTTGGATCAGTAGACCAGCATGTTAAGTTTGCATCACTCAGGAACTCTGGGGGGAAAAAATAAGGATTCCTGGGGTGGGACTGGAGGATAAGTGCAGGACTGCAAGGTTGGTTTGAAGGGCAACAGTTCAAACTTAACAGTCGCTCCTTGGAAACTCTATGCTGGATCACTATGAGTTGGAAGTGACTCGATGGCACTTAACAACAACAACAACACCTTATAAGGATATTATAAGGGTCAATGAGTTCATGAGTCAAGAATACTAATGGTTAATCTTTCTGTATTTTTACAAATTTATAATTTATCCATAATCAGTTCTCTTCTGAATGAATTTCTAACAAAATAGAGAATAAATTCACTGTTCATAAGTTAAAAAAAAAAAAAAAAGGAATCATCAGAACTCTTTCATGTTAGGCCACATTTGTCTGTCAGTCAGCTTTGAGTGACTGCTTTCTCAAATATGCTGTATGCTTTGTTCCTACAGTAAACAGACACCTCTTCCAGTAAGTTCCATTATGGAAGCAACTCTCACATCTTTGTCATTCTTGCTACTCTATGTTATGGAAACTGTTGATGGGACCCAAAGAAGTGAGGTTCATCCCAGCCCTCACTTGTATTTTCCTTTGTGTTCCTCAGATTTTCCCAAAGTTGTGTTCTGAGGAGAGTAAACCCTGGGGAGCTTTCTGTCTGTGAAACTTTTGCAGTCTAGGGATTGAAGCCAGAGGCCAAGCTCAACTTCTGTCAAAGGCATTTAACTCAACATGTTTCATTGCTCATAGAGGATTAAAATAGCCCAGTTGGTGAACAGCCAGGGAAAAATAGGGTTAAACTGAATTTCAACTGTGTTACATCATGCTCAAGCTGTCATGATTAAAATTGAATTTAAAGATTTGCTCACCCAAGAAAATATCTCTGGATTGTTTCAGGCTGCGACTCTTCAATTAACCTGACATTGCTCAAATCCCAAACTGCTATGGATGAACTCTTCACTTCGCTTCGGGATATTGCTGGAGCTCGGAACCTCATGAAGCAGTTTAAGTCAGTATATGTTCCTGGAAGTCAGACCCACCAGGCAAGTACATGTGTTTTAAAATAACTTTCTAATCTAGGTTGTATTTTTAGGACTCCGAGTCTGCAGCTACAAAAGGGTGTCGGGTTCTGGGGCAGTTTTTTTCAACACTTTCTACACATATAATCCAGAGTCACTGGTCACCTTCTCCAAGTTCTGTTTCCAGTATCAAGATCCTTTTCTAAATGATTCCACTACTATTAACATAAACTCAGTGCTCTCTAAGCAAAGTCTTCCAATGTCCCCCTCTCTCTTATGCCTGCCAACCACTGGTTTTTGGTGGTGCAAGCCCTTAAGCATTCGAAACAATTCAAAACCTACAGAAAGAGAGAGGTCCAAACAATTAACAATAGAGTATCAGAAATGGACAATACACTGAAAGGGCAAAGGAGTAGAATTGAAGAGATAGAATCCAGAACGAGTGAACTAGACAATAAATCTCTCAACACTACGAAGATGGAAGAACAAACACAAAAAAGGATTTAAAAAATCTGAAGAGGCCTAAGATTCATGTTGGACAACATGAAGAGGAATAACATAAGAATTATTGGCATTCAAGAACAAAAAGAATCACACAAGTCCACAGAGGAGATAGTTGAAGAGCTTCTGGAAGAAAATTTTCCTAATAACTGGAAAAGTGAAAAAATAAGCATTCAAGAAGCTCAATGAACCCCAGGAAGGACAGACCCTAAAAGACAATCACCAAGACATATAATAATCAGGCTCTCCAAAATTAAAGATAAGGACAGAATCCTGAAAGCA